ACCCAGTGAGAACAGACGACGACTGGCAAGATTGGGGGGTTTACACAGTTACTGGAACAATTGAAAAAGTGGACGGAGAGAAATCCAGTGGAGAACAAAGGCGATCAAGACACAGCACGGCGTGGAAATCGAGACAACTTAACCAAAAGCCTGTCCCTACTGTGAAGCAACCAACCACAGATCAACTGAGTGTGCCAAGGTGACTCAAGTAGCTGATCGAAGGAGAATCCTAGTTACGAAAGCATTGTGTTTCAACTGTACCGGATCAAAGCACAAAGCGTCAGCCTGTCGTAGCCAAAATTCATGTCAGAAATGTGGACGACGTCATCACACATCAATATGTGATTCCAGTGGCAAGTTACCAGGTGCGGGAAAGAAAGAAAGCGAACCAATTCTCGTAGCAACAGGGACGGGGAAATTTGTGTACCCAGTAGTGGTAGTTGAGTCAATGGCATCAAATGTCGGGCCCTACTTGACACAGGGGCTGGTAGATCTTACGCATCATCAGTGTTGCTACAAAAGATTAACAGCCGACCTATTAGAAGGGAGAACAAGCAAATCGAAATGATGATAGAGACCTGCAACAAAATAATTGAAATCCACAAAGTAACCATCATTAGTTTAGAAAATGATTTCAAGATTAACACTGAAGTAACAAATGTTGATCGAGACAAGTTGTTGACACTGGAAAACCCACAATATCAAGGAAAGATCAATCAATATCCTCATTTACAAGGGGTTTCAATGGACGATGATGATACAAAGCCAGAGCTACCAGTCCATGTCATCTTGGGAGCAAGTGAATATGCACAGATCAAGACCGAGACAAAACCAAGTGTTGGCCATCCAGGTGAACCAGTCGCTGAACAGACACGATTTGGTTGGACAATGATGTCCCCTGGTATTTAAATTGATCTTGGAAGCGTTCTTCTCACCCAGACCTCGAGTGTGGACTATGGAAACCTTTGTCGACTTGATGTTTTGGGTCTAAAAGATACATCACCAGGAAGTCAAGAAAACGTCTATGAGGAATTCCAAGAACAACTTACGAGAAGCCATGAAGGATGGTACCAAACTGGACTTCCTTGTAAAGCTAGCCATCCTCCCCTACAAAACAATTAAGTTGGAAGCTTGAAACGACTGAACAGTCTTACCAAACGATCAGAGAAGAATATCGAGTTACTAGAGAAATATGATAACATAATTAAGGAACAGTTGGAGGACGGTGTTGTAGAAAGAGTAACAGAAAGTCCGCAAGCGAAAGAGTTCTATTTACCCCATAAACCTGTTGTTCGTGAGTCAGCTGGAAGCTCGAAAATCCGTATTGTATTTGATGCAAGTGCCCGAGAAAACGAAAGTTCACCATTACTTAACGAATGTCTAGAAACTGGCCCACTTTTACCAAACCTGTTGTGGAATGTGCTGGTAAGAAACAGATTCTATCTCGTGGCAATTACAGGCGACCTTATGAAGGCATTCCTTCAAGTCCGAATCAAAGGATGTAAGCGAGACGCCATGCGATTTCATTGGTACAAAGATCTCCAGACAAGAGTAATTGAAGTGCGCATGCTCAGATTTACCCGTGCTCTTTTCGGACTAGCTCCATCACCATTCCTTTTGGAGGGAGTTATTAAACAACACCTAAAAAACTGTCGCGAACGATATCCAGACGAGACGGACGAGATACTCAAAAGCTTATATGTTGACGACCTGATCGGTGGAGGAATAACAACGGCTGAAGCACAGAATTCGAAGGAATCAGCAACAATCGTATTCCAGGAAGCAAAGTTCCAGCTGCACAGTTGAAGCCAATCAGAGAAATCCTAGCAGTTGCTGTAGTAGAGGACAATTTATTCGATATAAGCTTTTGGAAAAACACGAACTGTAGAAAACAATCAGAATCATGGCTTGGATACATCGATTCATTTACAATGTTAAACGGTGCAATAGGAAGAAGAAAATATCTGGTGCCATCACTACGGAAGAAACAGTCCAAAATTCGAAGAAGACCGCGCAAGACTTAACCTACAAGAGAACAACGAAGGCGTACTTGAATGTCGCGACAGAATTCAAGGTGATTTCCCTATATACTTACTCGATACAAGTATATTCAGCGAGAAACTCGTAGCAGAAACTCACAAGAAAACGTTGCATGGGGGAGTCGGTTACACTATGGCAAAGATACGGGACAAGTATTGAATACCGCGGTTGAGAAGGCTTGTAAAGAAAGTGATCCATACATGTAACGGGTGCAAACGATTTCAAGTCAAACCATTACCTAACCCACCTGTCGGAAACCTGCCGAAAGACAGAACCATGGGAGAACTACCGTTCCAGACGATTGGCGTAGACTATGCTGGTCGGATCAAATACCGACATAAGAAATCCGAAAAGAAAGCTTACATACTGTTGTATTCCTGCAGTTTGACTAGAACTGGGTATCTGGACTTGCTACCCGATCTTACCACAGAAGAGTTTATTCGAAGTTTTAAACGCCTAGTAGCCAGAAGAGGAAGACCGAGAAAGGTATATTCAGATAATGGAAAAACATTCGTGGAAGCTTCGAAATGGGTCAAGAATGTGATGAAGGATTGCGAAACAGGCTCGCGCGTAAAGAAATCAAGTGGCAGTTCAACCTAAGCCGCGCCCCTTGGTGGGGCGGCCAATTTGAACGAATGGTCGGCCTCGTCAAACAAGCCTTTCACAAGACGATTGGACATCGGAATCTCAAGTGGAACGAGCTGGAGGAGATAATCATCGATGTTGAAACCACCTTTAACTCCCGACCGTTATGCTACGTTGAAGATGACATTCAACTCCCTTTGTTAACCTCAAACTCCATGTTATTTGGTCAACCTAACTTAATTCCACAACGAGATCCCAACGCTATTGAAGATCGAGACGTACGCAAGTGTAAGGATGCTCAGGACATCAAATCCCTGAGAGAACGTAATAACCTGAAACATGACCGTAAAGAAATGGCGCTGAAACCTGGAGATGTCGTAATGATCAAAGGTGAAGAAAAGAACAGAGGTGTATGGAGAATTGGTATCGTGGAGAAACTGATCCAAGGTCGAGATAAAGTTGTACGAGGAGCGCGGTTACGAGCGGGAAAATCATATCTGGAAAGACCTGTCCAACACCTATTTCCGTTGGAATTGTCGTGCGACATGCCATTGAAATCAAAAGAAAACACCGCCTTGGATGTACATGCTCCTGAATTTCGTCAAAAACATAAAACTGCAGAAGCTGCACGAGAACTATTCAAAAACATTGCAGCAGAAGAACTTCAAGACGAGGAGTACTTTTAATGAAAACATTCGAAAGTATTGAGGAACTTATAAACTGAAGATTAACTTAGATTCTTATTAACATATTGTTATTGTTGTAATATTTGCAAACTTACGTTGCAAATGGGGGGAGAGTGTCGAGAATTATCGACATTATTTGTAATCGGGAAATCCTCGGAATATCCCGAGTATAGAACGAGAACTAAGCGAGACTGTGTTCAAAACAAGCATGCGAGAACTGTAACTTTATAACAATTTAAATATAAAATCATCAAAACTAATGTTTGAAGAGGTTGTTGTGTGAGCTATTCGCAGCAAAGACTATATATATATATTTATCACAGAATGTATATATATATATATATATATATATATATATATATATATATATATATATATATATATATATACATTCTGTATATATATATAACTATTATATATATATAACTATTTATACCCGAAAACTATTGAAATCACTATTGTTAAAATTTGAATGACCTTCCAAACAGCTGAACGTAGTGATGCGTAAAATATAGACAAGGTGCGTGTATTAAAATTTAATTAAAAACATCTCCTTGTAAAGTGCGCGATTTTCTGCTCTTGGGAATTTAAAACAGCTTCTTAAACAGTTTCTTTATGCATAAAATTTACTTATGTCAATCATTTATGCACTCGTGGGAACCAACAAAGTGCTAAGGCATTCAAATTCTAACAACTAAATTGTTATTGGTGATTTCAATAGTTTTCGTTTTTTGGGGGATACCCTGTATATTTATAACAGAATGTAAAGTGTATCAGTGGAATTAAATGTCGCGATCGACCTACTTTGATGGTGGTATCCAGTGATTACGTTGGCCAACTACATTGTGTAATGAACAATAGACAACTTGCATGTTAGACTAATTTTTGATCTAGGCAAAAAAGTAAGTTCCCGTAAAGAACTTATTAAAATTAGTAAAATTGCAAACTTTGGTTACGAAATGTTGTAAAATACGGAAAATATAGCCTTGCAAAGTTTGCATATTTTGTATATATTTGTATTACGTGCGGAAATTGTTACAATTTTTGAGCCGAAAATGTAACAATTTCCGCACGAAATACAAACATTTCTCAAATTCATTAATAATTCATGAGCAATTCAGCCAATGATAATCACCTATTTGATCAGAAGATGCCATTTGGATACTTGATGAAAGTCACTAGTGTTTTCATCAAATATCTTAATTACGCAGGCAAAATTACTTGAATAGAATTCCTAATATAATTACGTTATGCTTGGTTAAGAATTCTATTGAAATCAGCAAACGAAAACATGCTCGTGTTTTCATACATTGTTTTCTCGTGTTTGGATATCCCAGTGAAACACTCGCTCTCGTTGTTCATATATTACTTACAAAATTTGGAAACTTTGCAAGGCATTTCCACGCTTTACAACATTTCGCAACCAAATTTTGCAATTTTACAAATTTCATATTCTTTTTAGCTGTAGTGTTTGATTCCCTTCTCTTTAATTAGATTAAAATTTAGTCTAACATGGAAGTTGCCATTATATATAATCATGTAATACCGGTCAGTGGAATTTTAGTATCTTATTCTTACCGCGTGGTTGATACTCTGGCTCAGTCTCGAGATCTATTTCGGTATGATAAGCCAACTCGATATAAGGGATAACATAATATCGTCGCCACCACTACGTAACTGATGTAGAATCTATTGTATCCATGTTGTGCCGCATTTTGGTGGAGTCACGACAAACACGTCGTCTGAACGAGGTTTAAAACTGAAACCGCGACTTACTCCTTCTCCTGTTGTGACGAGAGATAATATCTGCATCATGAGCTGCATCCCTGCACTTACATCATCAGGAGCCTCAAAAAACATTCTCAGGAAAATTACCGCGAAACCCGGTGCAAGCTGAGTCTGCGAGGTTAAATGTTATTATTGGCACAATAACTGAGAAGTTAACAGAGAATTAAGAGGGTAATTTGAATATGTAGATTGCACATTGAAAAGAATTGAAAAATTACAATATATGAATAATTTAGACATTGTCCTCGATCTGTTTACAACGCCAAATCACAGATTTTCACGTCTTGATACAACGGCTGCATTTCAAGCCGCAACAAGTGCAACTTCAAATTGGGTTCAGGAGAATTCTTCCCAACCATTAATTATTAAATTCATACGATTGATAATGTACGACGAATTATCTTCACTACAATTTATTTGAAGGAGTTTGTTTTGGCCGTCGTCGGCGCGTTGCCGTCCTGAAATCGCATGGTCTCTAATATCTGGCCGTACGCGGCACAACACCTAGCCTACGTGGCAGTCCATTTATTTTATCGAAGGTTTTAAGGATTTTTGAATAAATGGCGGGTTAGAAAAACTGGGCGAAGAGAAAAAGGGCGAGAAAAAACGGGCGAAGGAAAAATAAAGCGCCTGCAACTGTCTTTAATAGAAATTAATTTCGCCCACTTACTTGAAATTTCCGGCCACAATACACCGCAAAACAACCAACCAACCAATCAGACACGAGCCGCAAGTATGAAGCGAAGGTATCACCAATGGTTAAAAGCTCCAACCCTTATAACTGGTTGGAGGTACTTTTGGAGGACGCACCATTGGTTGACTAAGGTTTCTAGGAATTATTATCCTTGATGATGTTGCCTCCTTAGTCAGGCGCATCTTAACTAGCTACCGATTCCATCCCTATCGGCGACAGCGGCCAAACATAATTTAGTATGGTAATATCTGGTAACATATTAATTAGTTTAATTGCTGGACGGAAAGCGATGTGACCTAACGGCCACATCAGATGATTAATATATCGTATGAGATGTTAATATAATGTTTATAGTTACGACATTCTTCGCGCACCGATGGATCTTGCTCCCCATAATTATTTTACAATGTTCTGTTGAATAACGTTAATAACGAATTTCAGATTTGATTTCCACTACCACTACCTAACACGGGCTTGGTAGTTACGCATCTGGTTGATTAATTGAAATAATCAGACCCATCTGATTGGTTAATGATGCCTTAAAGGTAGTAATAGCGGTAGTGGAAGTCAAATCTGTATCTCTCTAATATCAAATATCTTAAATATTATTTATCTGTTCCTTTTTGAATGCACTTCTCAACTCATTGTAATCCTGAAATCCAGTTTGTTTACCAACGACTTCCAGCCATTTTGCCTGAATAATTTCTTTAGTTTTGTCATCCATCAACTCTCGTCCTTTCGTGGCAGATCCTGTGGCAACCTTACTGGGGGCAGCATCATCAGGTATCCCACAACTTTTATTCCGATAACGTGCGACACGAACTTCTGAAAACTTCCTTTCATTTCCTTTCATAAATTCAAAGGAGCTCATTTTCACAGCCTTCTTAATCGTTTCCTCATCTTGAATTCCCATGAATGCTGCAACCATCCTAACAGCACTTTCTAAATCATCTTTCATATCCTCAAAGAACAGAAATAAAACATTCGAGTCATTCCTGTGTTCCCACCAGCTGAGTAAGTGCACAAAATAAGATGCAACTTCTGTCTTCTTTTCTGGAGCACCAATAGCGAGTAGAAAATCCTTCACAAATTCATGAAGTGAAACTTCCCCTGATTGAAACATCCAATCCTTGTAGAAGTTGAAGTAACTGTAGAATGCAGAACATGGTTCACGGTAAATAACAATGTATTTAGCGCCCTTGGGACACGAAGGATACCATGCATGAGTCTTGTAACATCTAACAACGAGAACAGAACATATGATCCCAAATTATACAAGAACGCCTGTTGGCCGCCAGGGTAGGTAGCAACGATATTAAGAAGGGAGCTGCGGATTTCAGAGAGATGACAACTACATGAAAAATAGAAGCAAAACTTGTATTTTTGAGGTAGTTTCATGTATCTCTCTGAAATCCGCAGCTGCATGTCTTCGCTAATTAAATTAATCAGTATGCTAAATATATATTAATACATGCACAAGAGGTTCATTATATCAAAAATATGATGTCAATCTTACTGTATCGGCAAAGAAAAGGATATAGAACCGCATTATTATAACATATAACATATATTTGGGCAGCGGTGAAAACCAGAGCATTCGTAGGACAAATTGCCAAGTATAGTTCCCACATTGCAAACGATTTTAAATACAATTGCATTTTTCTTCTTTAAATACGGGATACTATATACAGGATACTTATCATTTATAGACCCGGAGCGGGGGGGATTCGGCGTAATATTTCCCGAAGTGATGATATTTTCCGAGGGGCTTTGCCCTGAGGAAAATATCATCACTGAGGGAAATATCGCCGAATCCCCCGAGCGGAGGGTCATAAATGATACATTATACCGAAAGTTAAAGAACTGGCTAAGTTCAGAATAAACCTTTTTAAATAAAACTTGCTGAATATTATAAAATACGCGAATACAATTTTTAATTTCTTATGTATACCTGAGTTTTTGACGTTTCCTCTTTAAAATATTTGAGCATGTACCCTTTGGATCATTAAAGGTAACATACGTCTTGAAAATGTTTTGTTAAGTCAAATATTCTGTACGAAAATACGAAATTACAAACAACAGCTCGCGAACGCCATATTTTTTCAGAGCGTGGTGTCCACGCGTCACGCGTGAGCGTGGGATACTATAATATTCCACCGGATATTATAGTATCCCACGCTGGATTGCGAAATCATGAATTTGAGTGAAATACCGTAAAATATCACATTATCACGTGGTACAAATGCTGTTTTTCCATTGGACAATTTGAATTTGAGGTATAATATTATAAATAAATACGACAAATACGGGATACTATATGTTATAGTTTCCGTTAGGCCGTTTGCTGTGGCCTTGAAAAGTGCCTAGAAAACGATTTTCGTAGTGCATGTCTTGGAACTGAAATATTTTTACGGGAACTAACACTGTCGAACACGCCGAGTTCAAATCCGAAAAGTTCCCGCTCCATAGACCTTGCGTTTTCTCACAAACTGCTATTTTATTTTCACTAATTTCACGACTAACTTTTTCTTTGTTCAACGACACGGATGGATGATGACACACGAATGCATAACTCAAAATGACTAATTCCTATGAACCAGTCTCTACATTTAACAAAGGACCGTTTTGCTTGGATCATTTTGAGTTTTGTAATTTTAAGCGCGTTGGACGTAAACAACAAATCTTGTCTACAACTTTGGGAAGGTGCCGGTATCGCTTTCTAAAATTCTCAGTTTTGGCTCTATCTCTGTAAAATCACAAGGACGTTAAAGTTAAGTCTTTGGGCTATGTCTCTGGGCTAAGAAAGAATTTCTTGGCATGCGATCAAAATTTTTATACCGCGATGTAAAACGGTAATCTTATGTAATGGGTCAGCATTCAAATTTTCAACACAGTTTCTGAGACGTAATTCAAGAGGTAACTTATCATTGCATTTGAACTATTATATCAGTTGGTGTCATTCTGCGCGATAAGCTAATATTATTGGGAAAAGGGCTCCCATAGACGTTGAAATCACCAAATAAACAACTCACGGACACATTTCTCTACTTCGTCGTAAGTTTACAGAGCAGATTTTAAACTTTCGTACTGTTCTTTGTCTTTAATGTGTGCATTTATTTTTCTAGTTTAAGGTTATTTATGATTGATCCTGTTGTAAGTCTTCAACCAGCAACCCATCAACAATATTTCATGTTAGCGTTGTCTTTGCCGTTACGTTGGCTTCGCGTTACTGTTGTTTTAAATACCATGATTGCGTTAAACGAGTTATTTATATCAGGCCAGTGACATAGCCAAAAGACTTAATTAGCATTACCGTCCTTGTGATTTTATAGAGATATTGCTAGAACTGTGGATGTTAGATAGCGTTATCTGTATCTTCCCAAAGTTGTAAACAATATATGTTGTTTACGTCCAACACGCATAAGATTACATAACTCAAAATGATTCGAGCGAAACGGTCTTTTGTTAAAAGGAAGACTAGTTAATAGAAATTAGTCCTTTTGAGTGACATAAGAGTGTGTCATCGTC